TCCCGGTGCCTCTGGTCTGCTGGGGACCATCTCCAGCAGACCAGGGATACGGGGAGCAAAGGAGGCGGAGGGGCGCTGGGGTATAAGATGAAACCCTATCTTTTAATTAAAAAGATAGGGGGTCGTCTTATACGCCCAGTCGCCCTATATGCCGGAAAATACGGTAATTTTGAAATGCAGATTGAAAGCTTAACAGCTTTCTAAGGTAATATCTACAGTGGCACTTTCATCATTAACTTTTGTTGCCCAGAGTTATGAAAAAACCTACACCCCTGAATGATAGTTTTTACAATGAAAAGTACTGGTGTGCTTATTGCTTTGTCAGTCTGAGCCTTTCTTCCATTGACAAAGGTACTTTCCGCTTGTTCGGGGGTAGTTATATTTTTATGCTGGCTACACTGTGCACTTTAAAATAGTACAGATGCAAGAGCACCACAGCTGTAAGGTGCACAGTGTAGACATATGCTAAGTAATTACCTTCAGTCTGTACACTGGACTTAATTTAACAGGGTAATAATTTAAGATAGCAATTTTTCAAGGACATGTCCATACTCACAACACCCTAAATCATTAGCTTAGCAGAAAAACCCTTCCCTTCCTAACTCAGGGCTTTTTCCCTGTTACGGAGATTCTAGTGAGGTTTTAATAACATGCTCACTATTTAAATACTACAACACCTTGGTTCTTTGTCACTGTGGAGCTTTTGTGCTCTGAAGGGATTAGGACAGAACTTAATAGCTGTTCCATATTTCCCCAGCCCAAGTAATACTGGAGTTTATCTAAGTGAAAAGAGTGAGGAAATAGCTGTTTTTTTATGAGAGTGGCGTTCAATGAGCCATCCAGATATAGACGCAATACCATTATTCACATGCAGGAAATATGTATATAATTACAGATTAAAGTTAAAAAAAAAGTGTGAGCTCTCAGTCTCATTGGTACCTTTGCCTTGTATTCTCTTACCAGGTTTGCCACAAGTTATTAATCACTCACATTGCAAACTGACAACCACATATATTTACAACACTGCACTACTGTATTAGAACTGAGTGCACACATGAGACACAAAGCTCTTTACCTTCACTTTTAACATTGCTAGTCTGTAAATCTGTAGGATGGCCTTGAAGCGAAAGACGAGGTTGCTGTAAGCGGCTAATCATAGGCTGGGGTGATACTCTGCTATATTCCAGGCTTCGAGCAGGTGATCGAGAACGAGGAGAATTCCTGGGAGACTGCTTTGGTGAAGGCCATGGCGAGTTGCGTGGCGATGGTGAGAACTTGGTAACAGCGGGGTGCACTGCATGGTGTGTACTGTCTTCTTCATCCTCTAAACTCTGTGCATCAAGTTCTTGATCACTAAACGTGCCTCTCCTGGTAGAATTGCAAGAGGAACCAGAACTACGTCGAGAAGTAGTTGCTGCATACTCCTGCCGCAGACCTGACAAAAGAAAGAACAGTTTACATATTACCTTAGAGTAAAAATGGCTAATACCATATTGATGGTTTACACAAATGCCTACACCAAGTTCAAAGTTATTTAGCAAATTCTAGCTCCTCTTATTTGAGGATTCCATTTCATCCCAGATCAGCATTAACAAAGTTATCTGAACTAAGGAGCTGACCTCAGTCCCTTTCCTGTGACAGGGTCCTCAAAACCACTTTTTTTTACCCCACAATGTGGACTACATCTTATGTTTTGTGGCTCACCTCCCCTTCACTTGTGTCTCATAACACTGCAGCAACTACAGAGCTTTCTTACCTAGAAAAATCGTATTAGGAGAGCATTAAATGCAACTCTTACAGCATTATTAAGCAACTGGTAAACCACCAGCAAGTGAACCACAAAGCAGTTGAGAACTGTTCTGGTGGATTGATATCCATGATAATTAGCAGTTTTGGCAATCTCCACAGAACCCAAAATGAAACCAACAAACTGAAAAAGGGCTACATCACAACTCAGGGAGCGTGCATGACTATTTTCCCAATCTGTACCTGTTGTGAGAACAAATGTCAGAGATTATTCTTTCCAGGCTTTAAGCACTGAGTTCATCAAGACAGTGTTTGTCCCCTAGAGAAGGGACTTGGGATAACAGGAGACCAACTAACTTTCTTTTTTTGCCTCTCCTATCCTCCAGTATTTCTTCTGCTCCTTACCTCTAAATCAAGCTCTTCACAACAACTTTACCCTCCCCTAACCAGAAAACAAAAGGGTCAGCCAGTCACATTACAAAAAAAGCCAGAGTATAGAACTGCACACGAACTGTACTAATTTTCCATCACTATCCCATCCAAGAACTTAAGAGTGCAAGGCCTAATGCACAAGTTTGGAAGACCATTTCAAAACTGGTTTTCCCATGTAGTAATTTGCTGCTCTCATTTTGCTATTAGGGACATCTATTTGACAAGCAATTCCTGCTCCTCTTACCATCTTTTCACCTGCTGATGCATAAAAAAAGTTTTAAAAGTCTGCAGCTGAAGTTTAAAAGAGTTATGTAATCAAAAACCACCTGCCTTTCAGTGCAGAAAGTACTTACTTTCCTCCTGCATCCGTGCTAAAATTTGCACATCTGTAACATCATTTAGCTTGTAATTTGATCCAATAGAATCTTCATCCATTTCTGAAGCACTTAATTCACTATCTATAGAGGACTGTGGGCTTAGTGGAGGATTTCTATCTGCTGCACATTTAAAATGACCTGTAAAAGAATAAAGAAAAGAAAACCCACAGAATACTCTGCAGTGTATTACAATATCTCTGTAGCTACTAGTGTATCAGCAGTACTGTGCCTACTAGTGGGTAAAAGGCTGGATGTCCCGCTATCAAGCAAAAGAGCTTATTCACTAAACAAATTCCAATAGCGAATAAGGCTTTTTTTCCCAAAACAGAAACACAGTGAGGGGAATTAACCATTGAAAATCATTTTCAAACACTGTGGTGGATTTTCCACAAGATTCGATGTTTTTCTAAAAGCAACAAGGAGTCCTGTGGCACCTTATAGACTAACGGAGGTATTGGAGCATAAGCTTTCGTGGGCAAAGACCCACTCCGTCAGATGCACATGCTCCAATACCTCCGTCAGATGCACATGCTCTGTCAGATGCTTATGCTCCAATACCTCCGTTAGTCTATAAGGAGCCACAGGACTCTGTCGCTTTTGCAGATCTAGACTAAAATGGCTGCCCCTGATACTTTCTAAAAGATGTGCTCTACTCTAAGCAAATTATTTTGGTGAAGGCCTCTGGCCTGTGTTATATAACAGATCACACTACATGATTAACAGGGGATCCTTGCTGGCTGTAGCCTCTGAATTTATAAACTTCCTGGCATTTAATACTTATATAACTTAGGTACAAAAAATCCTTTTTTGTATATACTGTTCCTTTTCAGCAACCCACAGCTTTCGTTTAAAGCTGTTTTATTAACATTTGCAGAATTATACAAGCTGCTAGAAAGTCTTTCACATTTCTAATGCCTTCCCCATCCTCTAAGTGATCTGCTGATGCTCCCAAGAGACTGAAGCTTTCCCCATTATGTCTGCTGATATCCCAGAGAAACCGACAGTCAAAAAGTCAAAGATAAAAGTAAAATACATGGCCAAATGTTATTGTATGTGCCACTGCAAAGTTTCAACACATCCTGTTCGTTCATTCATTCACACACGCCCCACTTTTCACCTCAATTACATGGTTGTTGGTACCACAAGATCATCTGCACTGATGCTAGCTGTATGAGTGCAGATAAGACTTAAGTTATAATTTACATTCCAAAAGCCTGCATCAAACCTTTTAATAAATGTAGTTTTTCTTTCATCCTTATAATCAAGTTACATGGAACCTTTGTCCATGTTACATATACTCGACTAGTACAGACCCTGAGGGAAGCAGCATTAATATACCTTATGCCAAAATAAACTGGTCAAATTATTTTCCTACAAGCTTAGTTTCTTACATATGATGCAGGCTTTCTACTGGAACTCCAGATGTTACTATAGTATTTTTTTAATACACTTAAGATTTAACTCCTTGCCAGTCTAACCCACAACTCAAGAGCACATGACATTTTTAGAACTGTAGCTTACCTGAGCTACCAGGAAATATGAGCTGTTTTGCTAATGGAGGTTTCACTGGTGTTGAGGAAGGCGAGTTGAAACCACTGCTGTAAGGGCTACCAGCATTTGGACTATATGAGCTTGTGTAACTGACCGCATTGAAAGGATTACTATATAAACTCTGTCTCTTGAGGGCTGTATGAAAAAGGGAAAAAGACACACTGAAGGAATTGGTAAAGATCAACATGACTATTTAAAATCAGTCAACATGGTAGTAAAGTGGCAGTTTAGATAAGCCTTTTTATTTAAAACAAATGCCTATGTTAGGCTCCAGACACATACAATCATAAGAAACAAAAAAAGACAGTACAATAACCCTAACATTTCCCCCCACCCAACACAATAAGACTGAATTCCCACCACTTATCTCTTCTTCTAAAGACTAGTACTGGTGTGTCCAACCCATGGCTCTTGAGCCGCATGCAGCACTTTGATTAAAGAAATGCAGCTCCTGCTGGTTGAGAGCCACACGCTTGGGCTGCTCATGGCTGGCCACTCTGAGCACGCATCCCAGCGCCTTGAAAGAGGTGTGGTGGTGGCTCCAGGATCCAGGCATTAGGTTAGAGCAGGCGGGAAGGGCTCTGGGGGAGGGGATGAGGATTGGCTTACAGCAAGGAGGCTGAGGTTGCCTGACTCTGGGGAAGAGGAGGAGATTGGGTTAAAGTGGCAGGAGGGAGGAGGAGGCTGCAGCACCTTAAACTCAAAGTCATCATGGATGCAGAATAAGGCAGCCAACATAGATGTCATATTTAAATTCCAGGGCAAAAAAGAAAGAATCATGTACCTGGTTTACACTGTGTTTCTTTAAAGAAAATTCAAAGGGTATTGTTTGCCAGGCTGAAGCAATTAGACTTTATTAGTTTTTGTCTGAAATGTCCTGTAATGTTATTTTTATCACTGCCTTGTCAGGCAGCTTGCATGTTCTTATGATCCTAGGAGCTATGCTGGCAGGAGCTTAGTGCTTCTGGTAGGTTCAACCAAGCCGGAAAGGAGTTTTCCCTCCTTGGGCTCTATAAAATCCAGATTCCTGAGGAGACTGGGTTGGCAGTTTTCCTGTACCATCCTGGAGGAGAGTCATTCCGTTGTTGAAGACTGTGGTGAAGGCCCAGTCCAGTGACAGACCTGACCCGACTCCGCTGCTGCCCACAGGGTGCTTTGGCCCACAGCTGTAGCAATAGCTCAGCGAGCCTCAGCTACCTGCTTCTCCCCACACCACTGGGATTGTGACCACAGAGCTTCTTCCACCGTTCTTCGCCTGTTGTGGCGAAGGCCCTTCAAAGCACCCAGAAGTGCTCTGCCTGCAATCCACAAACTGTACGTTGGTCCATTGCAAAGGCAGGGACTATGCAGTGAACTGAACTGTTTGCCATACCACTGCTAACACCGGAACATCAGGACCCCTCAGTGTTCCTCCCCTGAAAGCTAGCACTAGCTAAAGGGTTGAAGGTCCTGAGCTTCAAGCTGCCTCTGACAAACTGAGGGTACGCCTAGACTACATGCCTCTGTCGCCAGAGGCATGTAGATTAGGCTACCAGACATAGGAAAATGAAGCGGCGATTTAAATAATCGCCGCTTCATTTAAATTTACATGGCTGCCGCGCTGAGCCGACAAACAGCTAATCAGCTGTTTGTCGGCTCCGCGTGGTAGTCTGGACGCGCGGGTGTCGACATCAAAGGCATTTG